AGGGCATGAAACTTATTTGGCATTGCCCGAATTTGAAGGCTAAGGCCGTTCCGAGTTAAAAACACTCGAGGGCATGAAACTTATTTGGCATTGCCCAAATTAAAAGGTTAAGGCCATTCCGAGTTAAAAATACTCGAGGACATGAAGCGTATTTGGCATTGCCCGAATTTGAAGGCTAAGGCCGTTCCGAGTTAATAACACTCGAGGGCATGAAGCTTATTTGGCAACGCCCGAATTTAAAGGCTAAGGCCATTCCGAGTTAATAACAATCGAGAGCATAAAGCTTATTTGGCAATGCCCAAATTTAAAGGTTAAGGCCGTTCCGAGTTAAAAACACTCGAGGGCATGAAACTTATTTGGCATTGCCCAAATTAAAAGGCTAAGGCCATTCCGAGTTAATAACAATCGAGAGCATAAAGCTTATTTGGCAATGCCCAAATTTAAAGGTTAAGGCCGTTCCGAGTTAAAAACACTCGAGGGCATGAAACTTATTTGGCATTGCCCAAATTAAAAGGCTAAGGCCATTCCGAGTTAAAAATACTCGAGGACATGAAGCTTATTTGTCATTCCCGAATCTAAAGGCTAAGGTCGTTCCGAGTTAACATTACTCGAGGGCATGAAGCTTATTTGGCAATGCTTGAATTTAAAAGTTGAGGCCGTTCCGAGTTAACAAAACCCGAGGTTGCAAAAGCTTATGAAAACCTGAACTAAACTCACTCTCGGCGAGTCATATCCTAAAACATATGAGTATTCGGGAAGAGTTCCCGGACATACCAGATCATACGATGCTCTAGAGATTATAAAATCGAAGGCAAAGCTTGTTCGAACATGATTATTTAATGCTAAGACATTTCAATATTTGCAAAAATGTAAAGTGAAAAGCAAAGGAAGAACTCGAGAAATTATCAAAAATAGAGAATTTATATTTACGAAGTGTTGTCTTTACAAAGGCCGAGCAACCTCGACACAAAATACTAAGTACAAAAAGAAACAAAATCAAACCGAGGCCGCCTGATCTTGGCCGGAGCCCGCCTCGTCATCTGGATTCCCTAGGTCTTTTTCATCCTCTGATCCGCTTGATTCCTAAGAATCCTCCTCCTCGAGATAAGCCAGCTTCCCGGCCTCGGCTTCGAGCACTTTGGCATCCTTGATCTCAGTCGATAAGTCAAAACCCCGAGCGTGAATTTCCTTGAGGGCCTACCTTCGAGATTGCCACTTCGTATGCTCGACTATATTTTTCGATTGGTCTTGAGTAGCTTCGGTATCAACCTTGTACTGGGACACCATTTCAGCAGCTTCGGACTTGGCCACGACGATCTCCGATTTGGACGTTTTGAGCTCCTTGACTAGATTATCTCGATCTAAGACGGCCAAACCGAGCCGAGATTGAAGATCCTCAAACTTTTATGTCTGAACCTCGGCCCTTTCCTTTGCCGCTCTCAGCTGAATTTCAGCCGTAGTTAGTTATGCCTAAAAAGCCTATTTTTTCGAGGCCAAGCGATCCATTTTGCCTCTCCATTCATTGGTCTCAGCTTTGATTATGTTCATTTCAGCTCGGAGCTGAGCAATCCTATCGAGTATTTGGACCTGCAAATTTTGACCATCAGTCACCGAATCAATTTCATCATCACTTACTACAAAAACTTTTACCAGCTCGACCAAGTCAGCATGATTTTTTCGGGCCACTTCCATCTTGGCACGGAGGTTCTTAGTCTCCCCTTCGAGTTGCTCACTTAAAAGTTTAAAGGCGTCCCTTTTCTCAGTAAGCTCTCGAACTTCGGCTTTGAGTTGCTTCAGGTTATCCCGGTACCTCAAACAAACCTCGTGATGAAGCACCGAAGCCTATGAGCAAGAAGGGAAACACTAAAACATCTGCAAAATAATCTAATATAAATCAAAAATTCACTTAGAAAAATGGGAAGTTACCCGATTCAGCGCCTGTTGCGCTTCATTGAAAAGACATGGTGCATCCACCTCGTTCATATTAGCTTAATCATCCTCGGTCACTAAGCACCGAAGATAGCCAGCCACCCCTACGGGGATGGAGAGAACCCGGGTATCCTTCGGAAGTAAAAAAACAATGGTGCTCTTCCGATCAGGATATGCACTCAGGGCAGGGAATCGCTCAACCAATTTCGGGCTGGAGGAAGGCCCGTTTGCTTCTGAGGGATAGCTCTTCCTCGATATCTATAGATAGCCAAATATAATGGTGTACTCCGTAGCCTTCGAATCCACACCGTCGAAAAAACCATGGAAAAGATCGTTCGATCTATGGACCCCTTTGAGGGGGCATTCTTTTGCAACCTGGGCCTCGTTAAACATCGACTTTGTGAACAAGGGCGAGTCGATAATCTCTATCAGGTCGAGTGCTTCCTGTGGGGCTTTGCCAGAATCTCGGGGAGCCTTAACTCTTGCCTCCGCCTCGGTCTCCCCGACGTGATAAAATTTGTCCTTGCCTCTCCCTGGTTCGGCAAAACACAAGAGGGATGTTGGGTATATAAGTTAACAAGACTTAGACCCTAGTGACACGTTTTAAAATCATGAGGGCCTAAGCGCAGAGCAGACAATATCACTAGCGGGCTGAGTTGTTACAGATGGTATCAGTGCCACTCATATGTCAGCCTTGCCGATGGTGGGTCAGAGTTCAACTGAGTTTAGGCAAATCCCAGTTAGGCGGGGCAAACCTCAGTGCTGAGTCTAGGCGAATCCCATGTAGTGGGTCAAACCTTAGCGAGGACGCTGAGTCCATAAGATGGGGTGTATGTAATACCCCATACTTTAGACAGAGTCCCACATCGGCAAAATACAAGAGGGGTGTTGGGTATATAAGTTAACAAGCCTTAGACCGTAGTGACGCGTTTTAAAATTATGAGGTCCTAGGCCCAGAGTGGACAATATCACTAGTGGATTGGGCTGTTACAAGCCCCAGTCCCTATCCTCGTCGATGCTCGAGAATATGGCCTTAGTGGCTCGATGTGCGAGCTTGATTAATCCCCCTCGGTAAAGTCGAGGGCTATACATGCGCATGAGGTGGTCAGTAGTAAATAGACATCCCTCAATTTTGCTCACGAAGAAACGCAGAATAATTACAATCCTCCAAAACGAGGGGTGAATTTGCCCGAGAGTTACCTCGTACCTTTTGCAAAAGGCTATGATGACTGGGTTTTAAGGACCCAACGTGAAAGGATAAGTATAAACACTTAGAAAACCCTCCACGTAGGCGGTGATCGATTTCTTGGGGGTAGGGATCACAACAAGTTTATCTTCCCAGTGGCAGTCCTCTTTGACCTTATCGAGGATGCTGGTAGTAATAATGCATATATACCTCGAGACCGGCTCGCACCGAGCCGGTACTAAGGGGGAATTCTCGATCTTAAAGTCGGCCCCGATCGGGCATCCCGAAGGGACAAACGACTTTAGAGGGGGTTCCGGTGTTGGTTTCTCAGTAGTAGCATGTCAAAAAATTTCTAATGGTTTCGAGGAAGAAGGAGTTTCTTTTTTAGGAACAGATTTTGAAGTCTTTGCCATTTTTTCTAAATAGAGGAAAGAAGAAGATGTTGGTAAAAGAGGAGTTGTAACTAACAGGTAACTTATGAAGAAATTTCAAAGAACTCACAAGGAAGGAAGTTCTTAAGCTTAAAACCAGAAAAACAGAAGATGAAGATGATGAAGTTCTATTAAAACACAAGAGAAAGAGTTGGAATGGAAAAAGGTTCTAATGAATGGATTGAAGGGTATTTATAATATTCCCAAACGACGGTTCACATCCCAAAATGGCCGACCATTAGCTGATACACATTTAATGCCTCGAAGACTGGACCGACGGGATGTTTCCACTATTTTTATCACTTATGTCATGAATTCATCGTCATGTTTTATCTAATTAAGAATCGAAAGCTCGAATCATTTCCCATTATTTGCTCTTCAAAAAATAAAGAGATTTTGATGCCATATTTTTGTCACTTGCGTCATGATATATCGAAGTGAGAATCTGAGGCTCATATTATTTTTCATCATCTACTCTCCGAAAAATGAGGGGACTATCAGTATACAAGTAAAATCGAGCTCGATATTCGATCGAGCTTCCGAACTCCTTGATTAGGCCAAGGAAGAAATATCTGTGATCGGGTGAAGTCGAGCTCAAAGATCGATCTGATGACTAACACCACTAACCAAGATAGACACGTGATAATTATGATCGAACCCAAAGCACTATCAAAATTAGCCATCGAAACTATCAGATTTGCCCTTGAGTTTGCCGAAGGCGTGACCTGTCCTGTTTTTAACGGTCTCAAAGAAAGCTTTGCTAACTCATCCGACACAGTTCCGTAATTATTGCCATTAACCAATAATTGTGCCAAAAATCACAGAACGACTCAATAAGGGAACCAACGGTTAGTAAATCAAGGACTTTTGCCTTTTATAAAATAATAAAATAATATCTCAAAGGGTAGATCTCCCCTAATATATAAGAGGGGACTTGATAATTCATAGGACACATTATAACTCATATCAAAAGGCTATATACTGTTATTTCTATCTTCGTCATAGTTCATTGCACTGCAACATCAATAATATTATTTCTAGCTCGGGGGAGATTAATCTCACAAGGCTAGGATTGCTCAAACTTGTGTGGTTTGCATTTACCTTTTTATCTTTTATTTCCATAATCGATCTGATTTATCACTATATATCAAATTACATCACGTATCCTTAAAACCACGTACAAATTCAATTGTTATCCAATTTTTAAGGTAAATAACTATAAATTATATATATATATTCCTATACAAATTAGGAAGTAGTAATTGAAACTAATTAGGCAACTTATATTATCAAAAGTACAAAATTCCCAAAGAAAAATAATAAATATATATTCTTCTCAAGACTCTTCACTTTCTCAATTTATTTTAAGCCACGGGAGAAGAAAACCAAAACAAGAAGAAAACAAGCAACTCGAAAACTTATCAAGTGAGAAAAGAATGCATAAAAGGAAAACTATGGAGCTTTCAACTTTTTGCGATATCAAGGCCTGTACTATTGTTATTAACCCTCAAGGAGAGATTCAGACTTGGCCTGAGAATTTGGAAGCCGTTAAAGTTGTTCTTAATATGTACTCAAATTATAAGCCCCAACAAAAAGGCAAATAACCAGAGGTGGATCCAGAATTTGGAGGTTCCGGGTGCCAAACTAATCGATTTGATCAACTTTGGCTTTGGTTCGGGTTATTCATCTTTTTTTTATTTATATAGATAAATCCATCAAACGAAAAAAAATAACTATAACTAATTGACGCAAAGCATAAAGCATCGAATAAAAATATACATCATCTATTTACAGTTATACTCGACGAGTTTTCATATTTTAAAACGGTCAATAATGACATCATTATTTACATATGTAAATACATCATGTTTTATGTAGAAATTTCAGCAAAGACTTTGTAGGAAATAACCAAGAGAAATCAACCAAGATAGACTAAGAGTGAGAGAGCCTTACAATTGGATGCTGGAGGATGACGGAAGATGTCGATATGGACGGACGAAGCAACGATGCCGGCTGAAGGGAAGTGAAGACCGATAGTGGCGCTAGCGAAGGGGTGGAAGTTCGGACAATGGACAAGGATTTTTGTTTGGGAATCTAATGCGAGTGAGGATTTCGAAAATGAAATGTTGTTTTAAGGTAGAGTGAAAAAAACAAAATACTACAAACTAAGAGGAAAAAAAAGTCAAATTTACTAATAAAGAAAGATATAGTTAACAATAATTAAAGAAAGAAAAATAAGGAGAATAAAATATAATTAAAGAAAGAAAAATAAGTGAACAGTAAAGTCAAACTTTACTGATAGAATATCAGTACAGTGATGCAACAAGCTAAAAAGGTATTAAAAAGTGTAGTCTCAGTGGTTCGATCCCTCATTGCCAAGGAGGATTTATCAGCCATTTGCCAGTGGCACCTTAACATCTTTTGTTACTTTGGGTGGCACTCAGAGTATTTACATTTTCTAGATATGCACACATATAGTTAAGGTTTCGACATGACCACATGACCCTTGATAGTAAGGTATAGAGGTCGAAGATTAGGGTAGTAGGGTAGTTAGTGTAGTGTTCTCCCTGTCATACTGATAGTATTAGCCGTAGTTTAGTATTATGTTGGCATTAGATTTCTAGGACTACATGTCATTTCTTCCATTTTGGTTTCCTAATTATTTGTTATGATTTATGCTACTTTTACATAGCTTCTCTCTGCTGTGATTCTTGTTTTTGTCTTATTTAATGTGGTGCTTATGCTTCTCTGAGCCGATGGTTATTGGAAACAGCCTTTCTATCTCCACAAGATAGGAGTAAGGCTGCGTACATACTACCCTCCCCAGACCCCACTATGTGAGATTATATTGGGTTTGTTATTATTGTTGTTGTTTCGACCAAAGCTTGCGGGTGGCGTACCTCCCCCACGGGCTTAGTAAATCCGCCCTGCGAATAAGGAATCATCCGAGGACGAAAAAGGAGGAGAGAAAGATATTCTGACGCTAGTGGAATCAAAGCTTGTTTGCGCGAACAAGAGAATTCATTTCTTGGAGAACAAGAATGCTGGTAATACTAGTAATAAGGGTAAGAAACAGAGAATTGAATGATTTGTGCATAACTGCATATGGCACAAATTAATATGTACTCATATCCAACCATGTTCATACTCATTGCCACAAATTAATAGTGGGTCTGCACCATTTGATTTAAAGGTCTTATTGTCAAAATTGGACAACAATTAAACTTATAAAATGGATTCAAGGACACGTGATTTCACTTAATACCGATTGATAAATATGGAGATTAAAGATAGAATTATACAATAAAGTAAATCAAACCAGTATTTGAGTAGCTCTTAACCCTTGAGTTAAAGTAACCTCGAACTGATTTATGCAAGGACAATAAGAACACAATAAGTTGAAGAACAAGAGTGTGAGCGAGGAAGAAAATTATATTGCTTTTTATCCGTTGTCATTACAAATGGTTAGAACTCCCCTTAGTAGAAGAATTCTATATATGGTACAATTCTAATTACAAAAGGAAATCCCATGATTAACTAAACAACCGTTCTTGATTCGATCAGTTCCGAGATTTCCGCCATGATCTTCGACCAGTCGATATCTCGCTTTTTCGTTATTACACAATCTTCGGTATTGCTCGATACATGTCTCGTTCGGTCTCGATTGCTGTCGGTCTCGATCTTGGCAGGTGCCTCGAATCCCGTTCTCGGTACCTTGTCTTCGTGCTTGATCCGATCTATTTTGAAGTCGTCCTTCGATGCAAATTCCCGGTCTTGGTTAAACAATAAAATCGGGCGGGCCCGATTTTAATCGTATATAGATAATTCCCTCATTTTTGGTATGTAATGACAAGAAACGAATTGAGCCTTCGATTTTCTACCTCGACCTGTCATGACGTCATCCTTGTGATGTAAGTGACGAAAGTGACTGAAGCGTCCCGTCTACACAGTTTCCTAAGCATTAAATGCGCGTCAGGCGATGGTCGGCCACCGCTAATATTGAACCGTTGTTGTGAAATTTATAAGTAGCCACTCTCTCCACTATTTAGAACTTTTACTTTCAGATTCTTAATATTCAAAAGTTTTTATATCTTCTAACCTCTTCATATGCACATCTACGATTTTCACTGCTACCATCCCCTCAAAACACCAAATTATCATCTGCATCTATTTTCAACTTCAAATCCATACAAAAACGGCAAAAACGTCAAAGACGGTTCCTCAAAAGGAAAACGCTTCTTCATCGCAACCGATCGAAGACAAAACGCCGGTTGAGCCACGACTTGAAGAGTGTGTTCCTGGGGTGTGTGTTTACTTCTGACTGCAAAACTGATAAAGCCTCGTAGATTCTTGGTCGATGCGAGCCAGTGTCGAGGTACATATGCTCGATAACTGAAGGGTACCTTAAGCAGGTAAGGAAAGACTGCAACTGGAAAGGCAAAGAAGTGGTGATACTGACCCGAGAAGAAGACATTACCACTCATGTGGAAGGGTTTTAAGTGTTTACACCTACCTTTTCACGTTGGGCCCCCTCGACCCCGTCGTCATCGATTTTTGTCATCGGTACTAGATAACCCTAGGCCAAATCCACCCATTCTTTTTGGCCAATTGTTATTATGCTCCGATTCTTCGTGAGCAAAGTCGAGGGGATGCCTTTCACCCTCGACCACCTCATCAGGTTATACAGCTCCCGCCTCTATCTAGGCGGGTTGATAAAACTCCAATGTCGGGCCACCAAAGTATTTTTCTCGAGCATAGACGAGGACAATGACTGAGGCTGGATGGGCCGATTTGTTCGAGTGAGGACTTCCGACCTAATCCCGTCCGAGAAGATGCCATTTCCTGAGAAATAGAATATAAAGCGTAAGTATAGTTCCACTGTTAATTCTTATTTATTATTTTGTCCCTTTGATTATTCTCATCGATATCCTTTTCCGTGATGTAGCGATTTCTTGGATGCCCGATGCAATTACTAACCTCAAGAGCTGGGTTTGAGACCTGGCCTCTACCTCTTCGAATGTTGAGCGCTCATGGCGCGATTTATCAAAGGGCCGATGGGAGGACAAAACTCAAGGTAAGCCCCTTTCCTATGTCCTTGATAATTCGATCAAAATGTCTTTCTTATACTTAACCAATTTTCCTGTGTGTAGGCATGGGTAAAGATGCGGTCATGAGGCCCTCGTCTGGCAAGGAAGGGACCTCGGCCTCGGTTCCAAAACCTGCGAAAGACAACAAGAGAAAAAGGGACTCGGCTTCTGAGGATCTAGATCTTAAGACAAGGATGACTCGTAAGCCGAGGAAGAACACCATCCCTCTGACCAAAGAATATGTTCGGCGTCTGAGGGATGAAGACGAAGAAGAAGAAAATAACCACGGCTCCATACTGGTGGCCCGATTAAAAATAAACCATAGATGCCCCAAAGGAAACTAGATCGATGGTGGTTGATGAGGCTCCGCCTTGAACTGAGGGGATATCAGAGAAAGACTCGGGCAAAGTCCCCGAGTCATTGGAGATCGAGGATGTCTCACACCGAAATGAACAAATGGTGGGTATATCTGAAGGGACTGACCCTAAAGCTCTTCGAACTGAGGAGAACGCCCCAAGTGACTCCCTTGGGGCAATAGTAATCGGAGACTCGCCCACTCTCCCTACTTTTTCCGAAAGGGTGATTCGGGAACCCCGAGCATTGGGGACCCTCGAGGTAGACAAAGCTCATGAGGGATAGAACCCCTTTGTGATTTGTTTACAAGTATCGAGGATGTTGCAGGCCCGAGTGGCGCATCATGTCTTTTCTTCGAGGATCAACGAGCCCTGAATCGGGTAAGTCTCGATTCCCTTTGTTGATTTCATATTCCTCCATTGTTGCCTAACTTTTTATCTTTTCATGTAGGCTTTAGCTCTTCATCAGAAGGTATTTTCCAAGTCTCGGGCGGAGCTGAGCTGATGTGAGGCTGACTTCCGAGGGCTTTCGGAGGAGAGAAATGCCCTCAAACTTATTAGTGGGCAGAAAGAGCAAGAGATCATAGATCCTCGAGCCGAGTTGACCAAGGCTCACCAAGATCAGACAGATCTGATCGAGAAGGTAATGAAAATTTTAAAAGCTCCTGGGCTTGATTCGGGAACGATGGCTAATATTTCAATCTCACAGTTGCAGCAGAAAATTGAGAGGATCGAGCAGTTCCGTGAGGAGGTCGACCAAATAAAAGCGGAGTCCTTGGGGTGGAAGGAAGGTATGGACCGCTTTGCTGCAGAAAAAGAGACTGCTCGAGCCTAATTATCATCGGTCTAAAGTCAACTTCAAGGCATGAAAGAGAGGAGCTTGACCCAAGCAAGGAAAATAGAGGAGCTTGAGGCTCGGTTGGCTTCTGAACTTGCCAAGGCCAAATTTGAAGCCAAAAAAGAAAAGGCCGAGGTGGATGCGATCGTGGACGTCTATCATGCCGATGCTGAAGTTGCTCATGTCCAGGCCAGAGAAGCATCCGAGTCCGCTCACACTCAAGCATATTGGATTGCTACTCTCCAAATGCCAATCTCGAAGGGAAACCCTTGAGGAAATTCACGCTCGGGGTTTTGATCTAACCAATGAGATAGCAAAGGCTAGAGAGCATGAAGCCGAAGCCGGAGCGTTGGCCACTTCCGATGATGATGATAATGATGATAGCAAGAGCACGTCCGAGAATGGGGAGGACCTCGATGTAGAAGAAGCTTCCCTTGGAGGAGATCAGGAACCTTAGAATTTTTCACTTTCGATATTTTTGTATAGGATCCCGATCGGACCTTGTAAATATTCATATATATAATGATCTCTTTCCTTTCCGACTTGTCTTTATTTCTTTTATGCCTTGTGGAAGTTTTGTTCATAAGTTCGAGGCTTAGGCATCTTGATCGAAACCGGACTAGTGTAGTTTTTGTAATAGAGTGAGTACTTGCTCGGACTCGAAATAGAGTGACCCTTAGGTGTTAATTGAGTGAGGATGATTTCTTCGAACTCAAAAATAAACTGGCCTTTTAGGCTCTTAAATTAGGCCGATATGGCCATATAAATTCTGTTGTGCCTTAACATAAAATAAAGGATTTGCTTGAGAGTTCAAACGGTTCCGTACCCATTAGGATTTTCAAGGGTCGATATTTTTGAGGCCTTTTGTTTCGCATTGCCTTAGAATAAAATAAAGAATTTGTTCGAGAGCTCGAACGTCTTTGTATCCATTAGGGTTTTCGTGGGTCGATATTATCGAGACCCCTAGAAATTTAGCTAAGGGTAGCCTTTTTAACCGGTTTATGAAAATATTCGAAGGCCTATTTAATAACGGAAATTAGACGTCTCTGAACCGTGTTGATTTGGATGTAGCCTTTAACTTGGGATTAGCCTTTTGGGCATGTTCCCCTGTTATACTTCGAACTTGATCGAAGTATCAGACCCCGAGTGGGGTGGTCGTGGCCTATAAAATCGAGGATTGCCTTTTTAAGATCTTACGATCTCGAGGTTTAGTAATTCAATCGTGTCGGTTTTTTGGACGACAGTCCCTGAGTATCAGATAAATTGTTTGAACTTCAGTTGTGATCGGCCCTTAAGCCAGTTTTCACCATAGATCATAAGTATGAGATTGCAAAGTATAAATTTTAAAACATGGGGTATCTGATAAGGAAAAATACTTCTTCCAATAAATTATACATGTGTACATGTTTTTACATTAGGGCTCGAGTAATCTACACGGACACGGTTCATTTGACCGTTTGATCCTCTACAAAATTTACCTATCGAGACCCTATTGACACGAAGTATTTTTCTTATAACTATCCGAGGGTGATGCCTCCCAGTATTCAAGATTGATTGTAAAGGAGCCTCAGATACTGTTGAATTGCTCTAAGTTAGCACGAACAATGGTTGCCTCATTAAAAACCTCGTCGGAAAAACCCATTTGGGATAAAAATCGGTCTAAGGGAAAAAGAGTGCAACGCGTGCTTTCAGACCTAAGGACTGCGTTTGAAGGATCCTTTGATGTCTTCGATTAAACACCTGCAAACGGTTAGTATAAAATATAAATGAAAATGGAGAAGGTTATACCTTAGCAGTAATATCGTTTGAGGAGTGACACGTTCCAATTATTTGATAACTGTTCGCCGTTCATCGTGCCAAGTTTGTAAGATCCTTTTCCGAAGATATCGATGATCTGATACGGTCCCTCCCAATTTGGGTCGAGTTTTCCTTCATTTGGGTCTCTAGTATTAAGGGTGACTTTTCTCAATACTAAGTCCCATGTTCTAAAATGTCAAAAATTGGCCCTTCTGTTGTAGTACTTTTCGATCTATTTCTTCTGTCCGACCATTCGAACTAGGGCGCTTTCCCATTTTTCATCTATCAAATCAAGACTTATTCATAGCCTCGTGATTCGACTCTTTCGTTGCATATCAAAACCTAACGCTAGGTTCCCCGACTTCGACCGAGATTAGAGCTTCAGTGCCATATACTAAAGAGAATAGTGTTGACCCCGTACTGAATTTTGACGTTGTTCGATACGCCCATAGGACCTTGGGCAACATTTCTATCCATTTTCCCTTTATGTCGTTCAACCTTTTCTTTAGATTTTGAATTATGGTTTTGTTCGTTGATTCTGCCTATCCGTTCTCGCTGAGGTGATATGGCGTTGGCAAGATCCTTTTGATTTTGTGGTCTTCAAGAAACTTTGTTACTTTACTGCCGATGAATTGCTTTCCATTGTCGCATACGATCTCGGCAGGCATTCCGAATCGACATATAATGTGGTCCTAGATGAAGTCGATAACTTCTTTTTCCATGACTTTTTCGAAGGCCTGTGCTTCAACCCATTTAGAGAAATAGTCAGTCATAAATAAAATAAATTTATCTTTACATGGGGATGATGGTAGAGGGCCGACGATATCCAATCCCCATTTCATGAACGGCCATAGGGATAAGACCGAATGGAGTTGCTCCCCGAGTTGGTGGATCATCGGCTCATATCTTTGACACTTGTCGCACTTTCTAACGAATTCCTTCGTATATTTTTCCATATTGGCCCAGTAGTATCCTGCTCTGATGACTTTGTGAACCAATGATTCGGCACCAGAATGATTTCCGCAAGTTCCCTCGTGAATTTCCCATAAGACGTAGTCGGTGTCTACGGGACCCAAACATATCGCTAATGGTCCATCGAACATCCTTCTATATAGTATTCCATCTTAGGTCAATGTGAATCATGCGGCTTTCGTACGTAGAGTCCTTGATTCCTTTGGATCCGACGGAAGCTTTCCATTCTGTAGGTACTCGATATATTTATTCCTCCAATCCCATGCCAGACTCATGGAGTTTATTTCGGTGTGGCCTTCTTCGATCACTGACCTCGAAAGTTGCATGATAGTCTCCGCCCTAATTTTGTCGTCTTCAACCGATGATCCCAAATTTGCGAGGGCATCGGCTTCACTATTTTGCTTTCTAGGTACATGTCATAGGGTCCATTCTTGAAACCGATGTAATGTCACATGTAATTTATCCAGGTATCTCTACATTCGATCATCCCGAACCTCGAAGGAGTCATATTTGACTTCGATGACCTCTGCTCCCAAACTCTTAGCTAGCTCGAGACCTGCAATCATGGCCTCATACTCGGCCTCATTGTTAGTTAACTTGGAAGTTTTGATAGACTGCCTAATTGTATTACCGGTGGGCGGCTTCAAAACGATGCCTAGCCCGGAACCCTTCACGTTCAAAGTGCCATTTGTGAATAGGGTCCACACCCCCGATATTGTACCCGATTTTAATAATTGTTCTTTTTCGACCTCAGGTATGAGGGCTGGCATAAAATCAGCCACGAAGTCTGCTAAGATTTGAGACTTGATGGTCGTTCGGAGTTGATACTCGATATCATACCCGCTGATTTCGACGGCCCATTTGGCCAATCGGCCCGAGAGTTCGGGCTTATGCAAAATATTGCGAAGAGGATAAGTGGTCACTACACAAATTGGGTGACATTGAAAATATGGTTTTATATTCCTAGAGGCGCTTATTAAGGCAAGCGCCAACTTTTCTAAGTGTAGATACCAGGTCTCGGCCTCGCCTAGAGTTCGACTAACATAGTAAACACGAAATTACGTACCTTGCTCTTCTCGAACTAGGGCTCCACTTATCGCGATTTCTGAGACTGCTAAGTACAAGTAGAGTTGCTCGTCTGCTTTTGGAGTATGAAGCAGAGGCGTGCTCGAGAGGTACCGCTTTAATCTTCCAATGCTTATTGCCATTCCGGGGTCCATGCAAAATTGTTCTTCTTTTTTAGCAACGAGAAGAACTTATGACGTCTATATGAAGACTTTGAGATGAATCGGCCTAGGGCGGCTATGCGCCCTGTTAATCTTTGTACAACCTTAACATTATCCACGACTGTGATGTCTTCGATCGCCTTGATCTTATCGGGGTTGATTTCGATACGCCAATTTGATACCATAAAACTGAGGAACTTGCCTGAGCTGACCCCGAATGCACACTTCTCCGGGTTGAGTTTCATGTTGTATTTCCTTAGTATATCGAAGGTCTCCTGCAAATGTGTCAAATGGTCCTCTGCTCACAGGGACTTAACTAATATATCATCAATATAAACTTCTATTGACTTACCTATTCGTTCTTCGAACATTCGATTTACTAGGCGTTGATAAGTGGCACCAGCATTTTTTAGTCCAAACGGCATTACATTATAACAATAGGTGTCATACTTAGTGATGAACGAAGTCTTTTCCTGATCCTCAGGGTTCATTTGTATTTGATTGTACCCGGAGTAGGCATCGAGAAAACTAAGGATCTCGTGGCCGGTCATGGCATCTATCATGCGATCGATATTCGACAGAGGAAAAAAGTCTTTAGGACATGCTTTGTTCAAATCTTTATAATCTATGAACATCCTAAGTTTATTTTCCCTTTTAGGGACTACGACTACGTTTGCTAACCATTTGTGATATTTTACCTCGTCCTTGATGAATGCATGTTTTACCTCGGACTGGGGTCTTCTCTTTTGTTTTACTGGGTGGAACCTCGGGTCCAAGCTCAGTCGATGTGTAGCGATTTCCGACGGGATTCCTGTCATATCTAAATGGGACCAAGCAAAACAATCCATATTATTGATAAGAAATTTAACGAGTTTTTCCCTAAGCTCGGGGGTTAACCCTGTTCCTAGGTATACCTTTCGATCGGGTAGATGCCCGATCAGTATGACCTTCTCCAACTCCTCGACTGTTGATTTGGTGGTGTCGGAATCCTTGGGGATTATG